GGGGGACGGGGGGGTGCTCCGTGGGTTGCCTACTTACCTGGGTTTTGTAGAAAGAATTGCCCACCTTTCAGGCGGCTCACTAGAGACCCCTTTAACCGCCCCTGCCTCGGCGCCTGGTAAGGCTAGTAAACGAACGAGTGACACTGTATGTGTTTTGAATGGTCATAATCAAGTTTGCTTGATGTGATATGTGTCAGCACCAGTTACCTAGTGTACGATTTGTCACGATGATAAAGTGACAGTAATTTTGTCTTTTTTCTTTGAATTTGCATTGTTACTGGCTTTGCTACTTTGTTTCTTTCCTGCTGCCTCAAAACGTCCACCTTAAAGTACTGTGTCTCTAGTTCGATTTTTTTTTCTCGTTTTGGTATTTTTGTTGGGTTGAGGCACGTGTACCCACGTGGTCGCCGTGTGTCCGGAGACAGAGTGACTAGAGAGCTGTTATTCGCACCTCTCTATCGCCCGCTGTCCCGCGGCGCGCGGACAGTGATTGTAGTATCAGGACCAAAGTCCGCCGCCCGATCATCTCGCCAAAAAGTCGCGACACGTTAGGCGCAGGGCTGGTCCGCATGATAGTAGAGAGGGCAGCCCGTCGGCGACAGCAGGGCCGTCCGTGCGTAGGAGAGAGCGGGGGGGAGGGAGAGAAAGGGAGAGTGAGTGCGCGCAGTGTGTGTGTGTGTGTTAGTGGATCGGGTCACAGCGCTCGGTCGGCGCGGCGGCTATCTGCCCCGAGAATCATTTCGGCGCAGTGTGCGGCGGTGGTGGCGCATGGCGCTCCCGGCCGTGTAAGGGTTACGGTAAAATTTTCCGCGCGGTCAAAACGTCGCAATCGTACGAATTCGTATCGTAAAATGAAAAATGCAAATTGGAACGTTACGAAATTGTATAATTGCGAAAAAAACACATCAACAAAAAGTAGGTCATTATGTATTCACTCGGTTTTCCTCGTCCAGCAAAATCGTTTATTACATGCACTGCATAATGCCGGTGTGGCCATAACTTAGTCACGAACGTAAACAACAGCGGGACAAAAACACTGTATGCAACGCCACGTTGGGTGTCAGGAGGCTTGAAGGATTGATCCCTGCCCGTGAAAACACCGGCGTTGGTGCGACTATAACTTCATCTTTATATGGCTTCCTCAACCTACTCTATCCTAACCTAACCCAACCCTATCAGCCACATATAGTCGCCAATGAATGGCGATAGTGCCGATGGTCTGGCACAGTTTGGACGGCCGCGGTGTCGCCGTCGCGTCGGTCGGGTTGCCACGCCGCTGCACCTTTATTAGCGGCCAGAGACCTCGCCGAGGACCTCGCTTGCACCCTGGCTGTCTCTGTCCTGAGGGGCGTCGTCGCCCCCCTCCCCCCTTTTCCTCGTTGCTGACCTCTCGGCCCGTGCCGCGAGCCCCGACTGACTGAGGAGGACTCAGGCGCGACACGCATCACGACGGGACGGGACGGGTGGGCTCTGTGCCAGAGTGCGCCCCGCCCAACCCCGCCCCACCCGTAAGCTGCCCCATCC